TTGTAACATCTGAATATCTCTGGCCGCTTTGAAAAACTGTCTATGACAATTAGATAATACATCCCATTAAGTGGACCAGCAAAGTCAACATGCAGACATGACCATGGGCAGTCAGTTTCTGGCCATGGGTTGAACTTAATTGGTGGTGCTTTAGTCACCAAAGCAAAGCCTTTGAATGACTTCACAATACATTCAATGTCTCTATCCATGCTATGCCATAACTTCTCATCAAGCTTTTCATTCTGGATATACCAAGATATCCTGCATGAAATTATTTCAGGATTCTCTTTTGAAGTGCCAAAGGTATCACTACTCTTTTGCTGTACATGAGAACATCATCACATATTGAGTATACTCCTGAATCTGCTTTAGTCCTGTCTTAAAGATTTTCTTCATTTTAGTATTAAATTTTATCCTTCAACACTACTTTTTATATCTTCTAATGTCACAGGTAGTTCCTGCACAGTATTGCATAGTACGTTTTTTATATACTTCCGATTGTAGAGAAATAATGACCATGTCTTCTAAAGGTTCATTATTCCTAAGAAAAAGTCTGGACAATCTGTCCACATGACTTAATTTACATTTTCCATTATTATTTTCTTAATTTACTTAATTCCATTTTAAAGTTGTAATTTATTAAAATGATTCCCCATCATTGTAACCTATTAGCTGTATGAGTCAGCAATCCATTTTTGGACCCATAAATAGCTATCAACAATTTGTGATCTGCATGAAGCGTCCTGGATGTGTGTACAATCGGTTTAATCAAGCCATTTTCTAGTTTATGCATAATGCAGGCTCCTATACCATATGTACTAGCATCATTTGCTACAATTATTTATTTTTTTTTGGATTGTAGTGTATCAAGAACAAGTTTGACATTAGTATTTTTTTAATTTCCTCAAATGCTTCTTGGCATTCCGTCAACCAAGACCATTTAGCGTCTTTCTTCAAAAGCTCATTCAATGGAGCTCACAAGCAATGCATATTTGATACAAATACATTATAGTAACTTGTAAACCCCAGGAAACTTTGTAGGGTACTGACATTTACAGGAGTAGGCATGTCCTTTATAGCACTGGCACATGCTGGATTTGGTCTCCTGCCCTTCTTTTCAATTTTCTGACCTAAATAAGCTATACAAAAAAAAATCCATGCGGACACTTATCTTTTTCAATTTTTTCTTTATATAAACGGTTGGCAAAGCCCAATTGCTATATTCCACCTTCAATATAACACCCATTTTTTCGAGTCTATGAAGCTCGTCATCAATTTGTTTTAGTGAAGCAAATGGTACATTTCTTTTCTTTTTGAAAACTAGTTGTACGTTTTCTTTTAGCCTAAATTTAGCTTTCACTTTCTTGCATTTGCCTAACTCACCAGAAAATACATCTGGGAATTTAACTTTTAATTCTTCTTTTAAACTTTCTGCTTCATTAGTAAAGCCTTTCACTTTTTGGCAAAAATTGATTGGACTGTTCCATAAATTGAACTGTTCCATTCAATCTGTTCCAAACAGATATTTCGTGTTTTTCATGAAAAATGTCTTAACTTCAAGGTTTTATCTTTTAATGATACATTTGTCGTAAATTACCCCTCAAATTTTATTTTCTGTCCTGTAACACTACAAACAACTTTTTTGGTAACCATCAACATTGGTTTACCCAATTTTCTCCATGTATAAACATTTATTATACTCAAATCAGAACCACTGTCAAGTTGCAGTCTGATGTTTTTGTTCAGTTTTACCTGCACAGATTTTCTTATAGGAGATTTATGCACATTAGTAATTTTAATGTAATTACTCACTCATTTTTTAAATTTTGTCTTACAATGGGTTTTTTTTACATCCTTTTTTTCCACACCAAAAACATCCTTATACCAATGTAATTCTCCAAAAGCGTAACAGGGGTTAGCAGTGATGTTTTTTTCCTTCTTCACTTTATGTTTTTGACGCCCTTTATCTTAATATCTTTGGCATTTTGACGAACATTTACAAATTTCTGACAATCTCCTGCTAAGTTTTGCAGCATTAAATTGGGTTCATTTTCCAATTTATTTAAAATCCTTCTTTGGATTTCGGCATTTTTTGTTGACATCAACCCTTGCTCAAATATCAAGCATTTAAAATTGTCAGGACTTAATTCCGCCAATTTGAACTTTTCACAATTTTCATTCACAATGCTCATGAACATTGTTTTCACTAAATTCATACATTTTCATTTTTGATGGGACAAAGACATTTTCAGGCTGAAATGTTCCAAAATCAAAGTAACCGTTGGTTTAAATGTTAGGTCATTAGTCTTCTTTGGTAATATGTAGTTTATGAACTTAGTGAGTTTGACAGCATTTAGTTTCCTTGGTAAAGATCTGACCTTTTTGTCATCGGACCACTTTGCACAATCAGTCTTATACAAATCTTTGTATCTATGGAAATATGACAAAAAAGTTAACTCTTTCTCTGGTAGATAGTGAAATTATGCAATCGTATTTATGGTAGCATCTTCAGAATATCCATTCTTATTATTTGTGAACATTTTCTGTTATTCTACCAACATTTCCATTAGTTTTTCGAATTTTTATTCATACCATTTTTGCTGTTCGTCTTGCCGTTCGACCATTTCAAGTAGTAACATTTTAAAGTCTTCCATTTTGATTTTTTCCATTAGGAAGACTTGGTGAATTTTAACATGTGATTGTGGCAGTATCTTTGTTTGCCAAAGTTGTGCTGGTGAACGTTTCCTTGATTAGCAGGCAAATCCTTGACACTAAAATGTTGTATTTTGGCTAATCCATGTCAGAATGTTATATTTTGACTAATCCTTGTCAAAATGTTGTAATTTTGGCTAATCCTTGTCACCAAAATGTCGTAATTTTGGCTAATCCTTGTCACCAAAATGTCGTAATTTTGGCTAATCCTCGTTGCCAAAATGTTGTATTTTTGCCTAATCCTCGTTGCCAAAATGTTGTAACCTAGGGAAGGTTACTGAATAGAATAATCACACAAAGGTTGGTAATGAACGACAATACTTAGGACAAGAACAACATATAACATTTGCCAGTGGCACATAAAAGAAGTAGTCGACTGCTAGAAGTAAGTCAAGTGAATTCCACAATGAATCTCCAACTGCAGACCAACATACTACTGCAGCTATGTGAATGGAGACATACCCATTATTGTCTGTAGGTATTCTACAACACTAAGACAAAAATGTTTAGATAGAGCTTTAATCTCTAGTTCATCCACAGTAAATTTGCATCTAGGTTCTTACATTTCACCATTCTTGGCAGGTCTTGTAATCTTGTGAGTCCTGACATATGGGGGGGGGGACACTCCAAAAGTAATGTCTCCTATTTTATTATGTCAATATAAAGCAGAGGTTAAACCTTCTCATCAATAATCCACAGTTCTTTTTGTCATGTTATAAACAGCAGCTGAGCAACAGTTTGGCAAACTGTTATCTGACGTAAAGATACAACAGGTGTAACATTGGATTTATCCATGCAGAAAGCATTACATTCACTGACATTCACTGATGCTTACTGAGTATTTATGGAGACCTAAGAGTGGATGTGCTCATGATACATAATGTATTTCTGGATTACTTCAACCAACACTTTTATCTGCTGGGCTAGTGGATAAAAGCAGTGGTTGAAGTAAACCAGTAACTTGACCCAAAGAGTTGTGAGTTCAATACCTGACTAGAGCAGAGGTGAACAAAAATTTGGAAAGTTGAGCTAAAGAGAAATAACTGATACTGAGATATTGGAAGCGGCATAGCACATGGAACTAGAGCAATCTACCCCAGCAGGGGGACTAAAAAGTTTGCTTTGAAATTCCAATCACCTCAAGGCTGGAGCATGCAACTGCCAAAACATCATGAATATGGCAACAAAGATGAGGACAACAGTATGAATAATGTAAATAGTGTAAATTCATTCAAATGTGTTTTAAGTAAATTTAGGCATTTGTTTACAGAAACATTTGTATACTAAACTGTCCATATGTGAACATGGAGTAATGGAGTGACATTATTTATTTGATTCTTGTAATATTATCATTACAATATTATCATAAGCCTTTATATGTTTTAATACTAAATATCAGATCATTGCAAAAGTTTGTACCCATTTTTCATTGTCAATATAAAATGACCACAACTTAAACATTGGCATTTTTGGTGGAAATTTCTAATTGAAACCTTGCATCATTCAGTCTTTGTTGAATGTTAGCATTTTGTTCACAAATGTATGCCTTAAAGATGGAGGATGAATTTTTTGCCAATTTGGATTGTGCTCCAACTCTTAGAACAGTCAAAAAGTGGTTTGGCAGATTTTGTCAGTGTGATTTTAATCTAAATGATCAACAATGTTTCTGACAACTTCAGATGTCAATGAAGACGCTTGGTTTGACAACATGGAGAATAAACCAAAGATTTTGATGGAAAAGATTGCTAAGTGTTTAAAAAATCGATATTTCAACTGCCTTTTGAAGAGAAATGGGTTTGAGAAATCAAAATCAAAATGGTGTCATTTTGCATCACAACAATGCAAGACTGCATATTGCCAAACAGACCCTTACAGAAGCTTAAAGCGTTGAAATGGGACCCCACCCTCCTGCACCTACCGTATTCTCCTAACTTGGCTCCTTCAGATTTCCATTTGTTCTGTTCTCTACAGAACAATTCAAATGACAAAAAAATTTGACTGTACAGTCATATGAAAACTACCTCACAAACTTCTTCCAACAAAAGACACAAAGTTTCTAGAAAAATGGCATCTACAAGCTTTTAGAATGATGAGAGTTGACAAAAACAATGGAAACTATAGACTTGACTAATAAATGTTTTTTGTGAGTATGTAAAATTTTGTTTTTAATTTTCTAATCAAGCACAAACTGTTGTAATGATCTAATATATTCTTTTCAGTAAATTTCAATAGAAAAATTGTTCAAAAATACTTCTGGAGTTTATTATACAAACACATGAACAACTTACTGTTGGGAAGTCACCTCGATTTGTGGCAAAACAACTTTCTTCAATTAAACTATTAGCTTTCTTTTCCAGCTCCTTAATTTTTTCTTCAGGCCTGAATTGCAAACATAGATAAAGTGTTAGCAAAGACAGAAGTGACCCATACATGAAGACAAAATCACAAAGACCCACAAAAGGCAAAAGTCCAATGTTTGTTTTTTGGTTGGTTTAATTCTGGTTGGTTCATTTTTACATATTTGTTGCAAGATGATCATGAGGGAATAGCATTTCAAAGCAATCAACATTTCATAGAATTTAAATTCCAAATAATATCATCATTCTAACTGTATAATTATTGTCCAGAGTTAAGTCAATTATTGCAACAAGGTTTCTTCAATCACTCTTTTGCAGTTTTACCATTCTTTGCAAGTTTAATGTAATACATTTATGTCAATATTATTCCTAAAATGTGATAAAAAATGAGACATTAAATTACTTTATCAATGGGTGTTGAAAAGTTCTCAGCTTCACGGACAAAGATATTTTAAAATATGATGTTTGGACAGAACTTGGGAAGTGGTCAGGGCCAAGAATTTTTCAGCATCTCCTCAGTATTAGTTGGAATAATTTAATATACACATTCATTTATATACCAAAAAGATAATTTTTTTCACTAGAATGAGAATGTTATAACTGGTCATATTCAAGTAAAGTAAAACTAAACACATAAAATACTATAAATATGAATAAATAATATTACAACAATAAAAACAGACATTAAAAGAACCTTCATAAAAAAGGGGTGGTAACAATATATGTGTGTGTGTGTGTGTGTGTGTGTGTGAGAGAGAGAGAGAGAGTTCAGGTAAATTGGTAATACTAAAATATAACAATTAAAAACAGCTAAACCTCTTTAAACTTCTTTTGTACATATATGTTTATTTTGCTTAAAGTTTGTATTTTCTTGCTCTCAAATAAAAACTTAAATGTAAATTTTCAAACATATTTTAGTGGAATTTTCATCATTTATAGTTTAAACATATAGAAAAACAAGAAGATATCAGCTTAAACTAATACCATGAATATATGAATTCTATTACAAGAAAAAAAAATGGAGGAAACAAACGTATCCTGTCATATATTATTCTTTTATATTGAATGCACATTTGTTACATTCACTTATGCATAAATATCCATCTCTTCTTCCCCTAACTATGGGTTGATTAGCAAGACAGACTGGATCCTGTAGCTTTGATTAGCCACAAGTCTAGTGCAGAAAGAAACAACAATCTACTGTGGGAAAATCTTCTGCCTAGTCAGTAATGAATTGAAAAAGACATCATTGCACAAATGTGTATCATGTACAACACTTAACTGACTGATGAACTGTAAGATCAGTTATAGAACCCATTAAAAGACATTTCATTTATAGCTCACTCATTTGTAGTGTAAGAATAATCTATATCAATGCCCCTAACAAGTTTTAACTTAACCTGTTTTTACTATAATCCATTAGTAGCAAAAACAAAATGAACAATGAGATGTAAACCATGTTATTTAGGGCAAAGAAATATATCTTGAAATTAAATTCTTCAAGCTGTACAAAACACAGATAAAAAAAATAAAAGGACAAGAAAATATGGATTATCCCTAAAAAATATGCACTTTGCTGCATTGCAAACATAAAAAAAAACATCTATAATTCTTCAATCAAATGTCCTTGAGAAAAGCATGAATTTATTTTCTCTCTCAGCTATGGGTTAAATAACAGAGCAGAGTGAGCTCTCTAGTCTTGGGTGGCAGCAAAGAGAAGGAAGATTTTGAATTCAAACCAGTTAGGTATAATGACATCAACTGCAGTATGGCAAACCCTCCAGCTATCAGTATTTAGCTTCTCATGATGACAATATCACGATCATGAGAAGCACCTACTGCTGAATTTGATTTGATGGAATTAATCATTTTATCTTCTTTACCTGAAGTCTCTTTCTTTACAGATTGTTTTCTTAAAGTAAAATAATACTGCATCACAAATAGAACCCCTGACTTATACAAATAATTCATTAACCACACAAAGTTTTCATGATCAACATTTTCCAAATTAATGTTATTTTCATCTGTCAAATATTTTGCATTAAGATAACAATTTGCAAAGTAAATGAATGCTGTACATTTTCTTTTTATTCAAACAAATGTTTTGAGAAACAGACATTGTAAACATGATATAATACTGAGTTATCAAACAGTGATTGAGTATTGATTCAGCTGAAGAGAATAAAATTCAAACTGTTCAAATCTTGTTTGTAAAATACTACCAAACTAGTCTTTGTATTCTCAAGAGAAACTTGAGATTTTCACAAAACTCCCATTAGTAAATCTTGCCAGAATTTTAGATAATACTGGGACATGAAGCCAGAATGTCTACTTTACGTTGGCCCTCAAGTATACATAACAACCTTATAAATAGATCTGCGCACTGTTAACAGGAAGCGTCCAATCAGTCCATTTCTGTTTATGTTTTCACAATAAGAAACCTAAACAAATCTCTTTCTATCTGCATTTGGGTCACAGCTGGTCAGTGGACTCTCAGGTCAATGGTAAATGAGAATTTATCTAACTCATCTATCAGAAAATTCAGTTGCCTCAGACACCTGCCACTTGACTTGTGCTCAGCAAAGAAACCTGTACAATTAGAGAAGCTAAATATGAAATCTTTAGAGAAAAATTCCAGAAACAGCCAGAGGTAGAAATAATTTTATTTGAAGATTTAATACATAAAAACAAGTAGATGACTTATTTATATGTAAAAATCACCATGTCATTATTTTTTTGAAAAAGCAATGTCCATATTGACACACATTCATCTTCATTCTGTTAAGATCTTGATAAAGTCTTTAGCCAACTATAGCTGATCAGCAAGTATAGAATTAATCATTACAGTTCAAACTAATGTCATAAAAGTAATCAATCTCCCTTGAGCTAATACAATAATGTTTTTATATTCTGTCATAGAATTTTTTTAATTATAACAAATTAGAGAACATCTATCAAAAAATGAAGAGAATCAACAAATATAAAATAGCTTTCAAATGAAATATAGGATTATAATTATTTAAAAAAAAAACCCATTAAAATTAAATTCCTCTTTATAGAGTATTAGTAAAAGTAACTGACAGTTGCTTTTAAATATATATATATATATATATATATATATATATATATATTTATTTAGGGTTATGATGGCTAAGACAAATAATTGTATTTGTCCGAAGTAAACGTTTTGCTTTGCACATGACCAGAACTGTTAACAGTTTAAGCACAAAAGCAAAAAATTTACTTCAGACAAACATAATTATTTGTCTTAGCCATCATAACCCTGAAGATGATATTGGAATATATCGAAAGTACTTGGAAAAATAAAAATGAATAAATATAACCATGGCACCTACCTTCTTTAATCTCTTTAATCATGAAACAACAAAGCTTATACATGATTACAAAAGGTTCTTATTGAAAATAAACTGGTTTAATCAGACATGTTCAAATGAATATACACACATACATTATATACTCTCTCGACTCTCCCATCGAATTCGATGTACGAGGGTCAAGCAGATCAGTTCTTAGGAAATTGACAGCCCGACGCCAGCACATGAGATTTGATTATAGTGGTGAAGGTTTTGTGCGGAACCATCCACGCTTTTTGAAGGGTCGAATACAGAGACTTGGTGCACTACGTGCCACAGGGTCCCCAAACAACCCTTCACAGGTTTTGAATTCAGAGTTGTCCTTCTCCTAGACCAGTTGCCATGCAAGGCTATAGAACCCAGTCTGTCCTGCTATTTACCCATAGCTGGAGGGAGAAGAAGAGGATTCACACCTTTCCCAAGGGCATTAGTACGTAAGTGAATGTAATGAATTCAACTGGAATTCAAACTTGTCTCTCTGATTCCTCAATCCAAGCCGCTATCCATTACTCCACCGTGCCTCCATACATTATATATATATATATATATATATATATATATATATATATATATATATATAGAGAGAGAGAGAGAGAGATACTGTGTATTTAGGCAGCAAATATTCTTTAAGGCAAATATTATTAAAGACAACAGACATTTTGTTTCAATTAATTTTACTGATCAATTTTCCAAATTGTGAATCAGCCCTCTCAGACAAGGAGGAAATTCCATCAGAAATTATTTGAAGTTCATGTCATAAGAAAAGTACAAGAAATATTGCCCAGCCCTTCAAATTTCAGTTATCATCAGAGCAGGTAGAAATAAATGGTGAGTTTCGTAGAACTAGCAAATGTTGTGATATAAGTGAGCTATATGTTTTTTTTTTTAATTTATTCTTTATGTACTATTTGGGGATGTGGGCTTTAAGTTATAATTGTTACAAAATGTTTTTGTCTTTAATAATACAACTACTACTAATATATATATATATATAAATAAATTTAAAAGTGAACATTAAAGTCAACACTCAGGGGCAACAGGCTGTTTCATGCTGGATGCAATCATCAGGCCACAAATGTTGAACTTTTCCTCGGCTATTTATATATATATGGGTCAGTGGTACATTGTGGGTAATCTGGCAGTTATGGCATGAGTGGCTTGTTTATTTATTTGTTTGGGTTAATTTATTTTATTTGTTTTTCATCTTCATTTTGTATTATTTATTCTTTTCGTTTTTTGATGTTTTATTAATGTAGTAAAAAATTTGGGGGGGATTTGCTTAGGTCGCTTATTTAATAATTTGTTTTGGTCTGAGAAGATAATTAAATCTATTTATTCGTCCAATGTTTAGATTGCTTACTGTAGTCTATTCTGTTATTTTGGTGGGTGGATAGTTTTTTATTTATTTATTTTGATCGATTATTTTTACTTGTTTTTGCTTATTTATGCTTATTCTTATTACTTCTAACGGTTATTTTAGTGGGGATGATTTGTTCATTTATTTATTTATTTGGGTTAATTTCTATTAGTTTTTTATTTATTTATATTTTATTTTGTACATTTTTATTTATTCTATTTGGTTTTCAATTTTTGAGTAATGTAGTGATGGTTTTTTTTATTGTTATATAGCAGTTATAGCTATTTTTAC